GCCACTCCCATCCGGTCACATGGGCAGCAAGCCACTCCCACAAAGGAGGCCACACCCACAGAGTAGGTTCAAATAATTTTTGAAACCCACCACTGGACCAGTCCGTGGTGCCTCTGCCAGCAAAATGGAGCTTAGAAGGGCTGCAGGAAGCCATTGCAGCCAAAAACGGAGCTTGGGAGCCCGTTTTCACTGGCAGAATGCTCTGATCACTATAGGCACCCCTGGGACAAGTGACGTCGGGCTGGCCATGCCCACCCTGGCCACCCAAGGTCAAACTCAACCCTCATGCGTCCCTCAATGAAATCGAGTTTAACATCCCTAACCTAGGTGAACTTCACTCAAAAACATAAGCAGAATCACACCTAGTTACAGTTGAGCAACTGTTGTCTCTCCTGAGATGTCTCATGGGAAAAAGTTTTAATTTGTGGGCAGCTGGGGTTCCTCTTCTTTTCAGTGATCTTCTGGCTTCTTTTGTACATTGTTTACTTGAGCAACATTTGCTTAACAAATATTTAGACTCTGGATTCCAGAGATAACAGGTTTTCTGAAGTCTGTTAATACTTACCTCCCTCCGGTTTGTCACTTTCTGGTTTGGGGGCATCTGTTTCTTCTTCCATCATGGCAGCCAAAGGCTAAAATATAGGAAGGAGAATAGAAAATATTTATTTCACAATATATATATGCCACCCCAATTATATACCACCCCAATCATATGCAACCCCAATCAATAAACTTAGAGCGATGAGAATCAAAATACACTAATGATAAACTTCTACCCTTCATCTACACTAAACTTCAAACCTTACACTAGATGGAGATTTCCCCCTCCCCGAGTTTTTTATTTTATAACACATAAAAATTCCATTTTCAATTTAACTGTGTGTTGTCTGGGTACAGTTTTAGGAAGTAGCAATCAAAATATTTACAACAGTGTTCATTACGTTGGTATTGATTATAATAATATTAAATAATCATAATCATAGATGGAGATTCTCAGTCATCTAGGTCAGTGGTTCCCAAACTTGGCAACTTTAAGACTTGTGGACTTCAACTCCCAGAATTCTCCAGCCAGCTCTGGGAATTCTGGGAGTTGAAGTCCATAAGTCTTAAAGTTGCCAAGTTAGGGAACCACTGATCTAGGTCATGGTTGTCCCAAAGGTGCTTTTTCAAAAGGTAACTGGACTTTCTGGTTTTTCTTTGAAGATGTTTTGCTTCTCATCCAAGAAGCTTCTTCAGCTCTGCAGAATCTTGATGAGAATCCAGAGTTCCCAGCATCAACAGATTCTGGATGGCAGATTAGTGCCTTGTAGCATGAATTTAAAGAGAGGAGGAGAAGAATAGTTGAATATTTTAAGTAATTTAAAGGGGGATGGTGAAAATGTAGCCCTCCAGATTTTACTGGACTCACATCAGTCCCAGCCAACATGAGGAATGGAGAGTCTAGAAATAGCTGGAATGCTATATACGGTGCGGTGGTTAGAATGCAGTATTGCAGGCTGGCAGTTGGCCGGCAGTTCGATGCTGACCAGCTCAAGATTGACTCAGCCTTCCAAGGTTGGTAAAACGTGGACCCAGATTGTTGGGGGCAATATGTTGACTCTGTAAACAGCTTAGAGAGGGCTGTAAAGTGCTGTAAAGCAGCACATAAGTCTAAGTGATATTGCTATGACTGTGTTTCTCAGAAAATAAGACAGAAAATAAGAAAATCCCCCTCTCCATTTTCCTCCCATTTGCCAAAAAGCCTTCCGCGAGCCTCCCAAAAAGAGGGAAAAAGCAAAGCAGCTGGCTGCGGAAATGCGCCCCCAACAAGCAGAAGAGAAGGGCAAAAGTGGTATTTGCGCTGCCCCAAGGGGCCAGCAGGCTGCAGCCGGACAGTTCCCCCCCTCCCACGCCGGCACTTGTGCTGGCCACGCTCATCCCCTCCAAGCTTATTTTTGGAGTAGGGATAATATTAGGCCTACCCCAGTGGTGGGTTTCAAAAAAATTTGGAACCTCTTCTGTAGGTGTGGCCTGCTTTCCGGGTCCACTGGTGGAACCACTTCTAACTGGTTTGGTAGATTTGATGAACCGGTTCTACCGAATAGGTGCGAACTGGTAGGAACCCACCTCTGGCCTACCCCCCAAAAAATTAGGGTTGGGCTTATTATTGGAGTGGTGGTGTTTTCAGAGAAACACTGTACTATTTGTGGCCAATGTTAGCTTTAGAATGGCTTCTATCTCCATCCATTATTCCAGCTTGAATAGCCTTTTATGCACCACCCTTTTACGTTGGGATGTTTCACCATACTGGCTTCCTACGTTTTTTTTGTTATCCTGTCCTTTCTTGCGCTCCTTGTTCGCCATGATAACCCCCGACCGCAGGGTATCGAAGACAGGATCATTTCGGCTAGCTGTGAAATAAATAAACAAAGTTGTAAGACGGAGGTGTTTCTGAGGATGGATGACCAAGAGTTAAAGTCCTTTTGGATGGCTGACTTACCACCTGAGAGTTGTTGGGCACTGTACAATGGAGAGCTGTAAGCACGGCGGAAACCTGGAGGCTGAAGAGTAAGATTATACACGGTCAAGAACGTGGGTAAAAGGGGACAAAGCCCATTTTTCTCCCAAATGAGGGAGCTTGGTGATAGAGGCAGCTATTATCCTTGAAAAGAATCTCTAACCCAGTGTTTCTCAACCTGGGCGACCTTAAGTCCTGTGGACTTCAACTCCCAGAATCCCCCAGCCAGCACAGCTGGCTGGGGGATTCTGGGAGTTGAAGTCCACAGGACTTAAGGTCGCCCAGGTTGAGAAACACTGCAGTCTAACCATAGCCTAATGCTTGTTTTTATAAATAACACCATGTAGCAAACATTTTCATAAGATGCAGAAAGAGTTCTTCTGCCGATTTATCAACAAGACTAATAAAGCCAGTGTGGACAAAATGCGGAGTCCCCCAAAACGTTGGCAGTAGCCTCTAAAAGCTTTCCTAAACTTTACACTTTATGATAATTTTCAGGATGATGGAAATGGGAAGTCATTAAATGCATGAAATATTAATTCATTGCATATATTTAATATAGTTTAATTTTATTTTTGACCTCTTCCAGGGAGCAAAAATTATTTATGCCTATTTCTAGTCAACCTGGCCGAGCAGCCCCTGGTATTGTTCAGACCTAGGCTTCCTGAGACGGTAAAAATCACATGCTTAGTCCCCAAACCCCTTTTTTTAATTTAAACGGCTATGAATTATGTTCATTCACAGACTATAATGATTCACAAACAGTTTGTAAAGAGTCCGACAGAAGTCTGCCACAGTCTTTAAAGCTGATAAGAACCCACTTTAATCTCCTTTGATACACTGCCGAAGACCTAATTGCCAATTAGTTTTGCCAAACAGAGCACAGAGTCAAACGGAGCTTCAGAGTTTAAACCGTCCAGAACAAACAAAGTTGCTTTGTTCTTGCCTTCTGCCAGCTCTGCGCATGCACGCACTGGGAACAGGCTCCCCCTGTTCCTCTGCCTCACTGATATCAGACTCTAGATGCCACAGAGGCAGCACATAACTCCCAGATGGCCCTGGCCCCCTCTCTGCCTCCATCACAGATCCCTCATCAGAGCCTTCCCCGGACTCCAGGACCGGCCCATGTTCCTCCCCAACCTCCTCGCTGTCCAACTCTGCTGACAGCTGTGCAGGCCACCGGTAGACACAACAGGTATTTCATTTTTTAATGATGTATCACTTTGTTGTTTGTATATACACTGAGATCTTATGCGCCGGAGACAAATTCCTTGTGTGTCCAATCACACTTGGCTACTAAAAAATATTACGTTATTCGTTGCCCTTGCAAACGATTGTGTGTGTTCTGCAATAGGGAGACTACAGTATTGTGAAATCCCAAATTAGAAAGAGAAAGAGAAGAATCCTGTTTTTTACATCCCAATGTTCAGAAAAAGCTAGGTCCTATTGATTGGACCTGCTAAAGAGAAATTAATTGACTGGCTTCATCCACATGGCCTATGTTATTCTAAGCCGGGGCTGTCAAACTCAAGGCCCGTGGGCTGGATCTAGCCCATGAGGTACTTAGATCTGGCCTGCAGGGCCACCCTGGAAGCAGCAAAGGAGTGGCCCATGGTGCCTCTGCCAGCGAAAATGGAGCTCAGGAGGGACACGTGCATGCAGGAGGCCATTGCAGCCAAAACCAGAGCTCATGACGGCTGTGGGCAGCCCTCCCAAGCTCCATTTTCACTAGCAGATGATTGCAGGAGGCTGCTGCAGCCAAAAACAGAGTTCGGGAGCCCGTTTTCACTGGCAGAGCACTCAGACCACCACAGGCACCCCTGATATGAGTGACATTGAGCTGGCCACACCCCCAAGGTCAAACACAACCCTGATGTGCCCCTCAATGAAATCAAGTTTGACACCCCTGTTCTACGCTAAGAATGTCTCAGCTATGTTTGCTCTCATTTATGTAATCTGATTCACCGTGATCCCTGACTGTCTAAGGCAGTGGTTCTCAACCTGTGGGTCGGGACCCCTTTGGGGGTCGAACGACCCTTTCACAGGGGTCGCCTAAGACCTTCGGAAAACACATATTTTCGATGGTCTTAGGAACCGAGATACCAATTTTATGGTTGGGGATCACCACAACATGAGAAACTGTGGGTTGCGCCAGTGGTGGGTTTCAATTTTTTTCCCGAACCTACTCTGTGGGTGTGGC